TTAAAAATAGTTTTACTTGAATACTATAATGAATGTGTGAAGAAACTGAAAATAATCCATTGTTACAGTTTTTCTAAGAATTACATATCAATCGCATTAAATTCTCGATGGTTCTAGTATTAAAGAATATACAAACCTATGTTTACATAATCTTGCCCAAGCTGCTTTCTTCTTAATAATTTCGTAACTGGAGAGGTTATTGTATAATATATTCGTGATAAAAGTAAATTCATGGCAACGATTCAATATACAAGACCACATAATAATACTTCTCTATAATCGATGTAATTTAAATAATATTCTCTATTTATTAAAGTCAATTTAAAATCCTCATCATGAATTTAATCTGTTCCTATAACTCAAGGCATTGAATATATTGAAACGAATAAAGCTTCTGTGCACACACGTTCACTTTGAAACTTAAAAATATAGAAACTTGTTCTCAAGATAAGTAATCCAATCATATAGTAAATAATTTAAGTACATTCAAATTTCTTTTTGATAACGAATTATGATCAAATCTACCTTCCACATACTTACATTATGAAATATCGTATTTATGTACACCCCTTCCCAGAACCATTCATCTATCGTTAAACGATCATTAAGCATCGTCAATTGAAATTGACTGGTAATAAATCTGTCGTTGATAATTTACGAGACACTATCGGCGGATCTTCTAAATACATGTTCGTAGTCGCGGAAAACGTATATATGTACTATATATTCCATTGATACGACTACGAGGAAAGCAGTTGTTTTTCTATCCTCTTGTAAACACGAGCTGCCGCGACATCGCGACCCCTACTCGAATAGACAATTTGGGTCACGTCTATAGATCACACCGTACGAGATCGAGTCACGATTCAGGTCGTGTTGATTCGTCTGACAACGCATATTTGATTCAATGTTTCTAAGAAAACCGGGAGTCAATAGAGGGGCAATATATTTTTCTGAATATATCGTCGGTGTGAACGACGCCGACGTTTCTAAATTATGGACGCTTCACATGAATATCCGAATCTGATCTGATAAATCGTGGTTTCCAGGATAAACTGGAAATAAAATAACTTTCAATGTAACTGAAAATAATGATATTGAGGCTTTAATATATGTTCTTATGATGTTATTGTGAAACGTTGAAATTTGAATGTTTTAATTGCAATGAAGATATCATTAATGTAGACAGAGATAAAATAAACTAATATAATGAACAATTCTATAATTGTAATATCTATAATTTTGTATTTCAGTAATTGCTTCAGTTATTAATTTACACGTTTTCAACGTGTAGGGACATTTTCTTGTTTGGCTGGCAAATTGGCATCTCTACGAATTATGCAAATATTAAATTATTTAATAAAGTAGGAATTTGGAAAATTGTTTATTTAACATAGTGACTTTTCGAATATATATGTTAGACGAATGAAAATGGTACATTTTAAATATTTTATTTTTTAATTACTCAAGTCTTAAATATTCATTAATTTATTAGGAAATTATTCTTAAACAAATTCATTTATTCGTATGTGTACAACAATAAAGGCCGATTGAAGTTTCAACAAATGTATACAAATTTACATAAAAATTTATCATAAAAATGAATTTTTAAGTCTTCATATAAAACTATGTTTACTATATTTAACCGTTTCAGTAATTAACGTTTAAATGTTCTCTTTTATAGAAAGGTGCACTGTAAAAAAATGTCAAAGAAATTTACCTCTTTATGGAAAAGCATGTCAACGTAAAATAGGAAATTGTTTTACGTCTGTTGGAAACAACTTACTTTGCAAGTTTGAATAGAAGAGAGAGTTCGAAAGCACGTGAAGTAGGCATATCTGTATTTGGTTAAGTTTTAATGGCACAATTTTCATTCTCCAAACTTGATTATTTATACACTAACTTTTCAAAATAATAGTATTCGGTACATTGTTAAATAATGCGTTGTGTTGTAATTATAATAGAACTTTCTACAGACGACAGAAGAAATTTAAGTGACAGGTTTCTACAATTTATGGTGGAATATATTAAACTTTTAATGTACTATATTTTTTATCACTAATTACTAAACAGAAACACAAATTTGATTTAAATAATTTTTATCTTCATACATCTTAAGAAATTTTATTTTTCTAATACACGAAAAAATGACTAAATGTCACTGTTAAAAGTAGAAACTACATACATAACACTTTTTAAAACGTTTCAATATTATAAATATCTATGGTACACTCAAAAAGAATGCTTGTAATTTTTCCAACAAAGTTGACATTACTTAGCTTCTTAGAAACAAAAGTAAACAAAATTTAGTAGAAGTGAAGGGGCTATTTACTCATCCAGAACAATGCTCAATTCCTGATTTCTTTCAATTTTTTTAAATTTAAATTCTTTAATATTTATTATAGCTACATATCGTTAATTCTATAAAATAGAAAAATAATAGTAATTAAATCTTAATAAAAGAAAAAAAGGCGGTGGAAACAGAATCAGAAAATGTTCAACGCGTTTGCTGCCAGCGTCACCTATTTGTCACGAACAAATTTGTTACCTAAAGAAAATTAAATTAACCCTATAGATATTGTTCTTTCAATTTATAATGTACACCATTATATTTCAGAACTCAATGACTTCTTTTAGTTTAATTTTTTGAATGTTTAGATTTGTTAGATTGCATAAAATATTATAATTGAAAATATCGTCACCAAAACAAACACTGGTAGCAAACATGAGTAAAAATCCTATATAATTTAACATTTATAATTATTGAATAAAATTCCATGAATTTTCATACATTTTTTAAATGATTCCCGAATTATTTATAATAACAGGAGAGTAATTTCTTTTGTGTTCTATGTTTTGCAGACTATCCCTAGCAAACGCCCTGTACGAGAACCCATCGTTACCAAGACGGAAGTTACTTCTAAGCACCGGTGGCCAGAATTACCGGCCGCCCCTCGAGAGATCGAAAAGCGCGCCGAAATTGTCGGCGATCGAGGAGGACATTGTCGCCGAAGAAATCGAGCAGCAGAGGATCCTCGAGGAACTGAGGACCCTGGAGACTGTCGCTCGCAGCTGGCAAGACCAGGACAGCTGGAGGCTCGCTCGGCTGCTCGAAGCTTTGAATCGCGAGTCGTCCGACGAAAACGGAAGCATTTCCAGCGGATGCGAAACAGCCAGCACAGCGACCAGCGAAGAAAGAGCGCCTGGCCCGGAAGATAATCATGCTACAGGTTAATAATTCACTAAAATTCGTTATGTTTCCTTCTATTGTGTTGGCTGTGGAGCCTACTTGCAGTTTTTCAATATAAAAGAGTCTTTATTTGAAAAATCAAGTTTTCTTTTAAGAGAGTACTAAAATTATTTGACAGGTGAAAATTGTCAGACATCAAAATGAAATAATGCTGATGTACAAGACATATGTTTTAATTTAGAAATATATTATCATTAGTAAATGCCATTATAAAGGTTGTACAAAGATTGTAATTTTCTGTCCTTATATTTAGCGATAGTGTATTATTCCATAAAATGTTTCAATTCCTGCATTTCTTTCTTATGTATTTTATATTTCTTTTGTTCCTTTTCCTATAATTGTTTGCTTTCTTTAAATTACCACATAATTAACATCTATCTTATATGTTCTTGTTCCTAAATATTTTTTATGCCCCAATATGCAAGATGGTAATGAACTGTTCGATCTCTATTTGCATGAAAAATATATTTTTATTCTTTACAATGAAATACATACAAAACTTTTGTAAAAAAACTATGTATAATATACATAATCTAGATAGTCATTTCCAATAATAAATTATTATTTATAAAAAATGGAATAAAAAATATATGTATTGTTTACATTTGGAAAATATGTTCCTCACAAATACAATCGTACAAATACAATCGTAAACCTATTACCACAGACAAAAGTTTAATTCATTCTCTACTTTCACGTGCACACAACATGTATGTTTACATCCTGCAAATTTCACATATCACTTTACCCAAGTCAAGGAACAATTTCCGTCGAATCCATAATTCCTGATGACATCCGAAATATAATAATAATAAAGTAATTATAAGTAATAAATAAAGCGTATCGTAATATAATATAATCATAAGTATAAAACATATTATAATAAATAGAACATAAATCACAATTACGTAACATATAATAATAAAATATAATAAAACTATGAAAAATATTATAACAATCATCCACAGGTGATTCGAAATGTAATAATAATAATAAAATAATTATACATAATAAACAAAACATAAATCATAATTACGCAATATTTTATAATAGAATGTAACCATAATTACACAATACATTATAATAAAACATAATTATACTAAAATATAATAATAACTATAAAATATATTATACCGATCATCCACAGGTGAGCCGGAGCAGAGGGCGGAGAGACGAGTCATGTTCTCGGACGACGTGGTGAGAATGGGCACGGGGCCACGGCGAAATTCGGACGGTTCCCCAAACTTCATGACCTGCGCGGGAAGCCCGCGTTTTCTCCTGCGAGGTGTAGCGACCAGCCGGAAAAGGTTCACGCCGAGGACAGAGGAGGACGAGTCGATGGAGGAGGAGGACGAGGAGATGGAAGACTCGAGCTCCCACGTGTTCGACTTCGAAGACGTCGAGGATTTCGACGACGTGGTCGATTACAGGCCGAGGGGCGAGATACTACGTAGGATCGACAATTCGCAGGACAGGGAACGACGGGTAATGGAAACGTACCCGGGCCGAATGAATCACGAGCTGCTGCAGAACGACGAGTCCCCGTTCCTCACCTTGGATTCCCTCGACGAAGAAGTGGACAGCGACGAGAGCGGCTACGTCGAGGCTCCCCCGAAATCTCTGTTGGGCCAGGACGACCGCAAAGAGGAGGAAGAAACGAACAACGCCCGCGTCGATCCGTGTCAAGGTCAGTCTGAGTCATCGGACGTCCACAGGAGATCGAAACCCGTTGCGCAGGAGAGCCAGACAAAACAATTGCCGGATCCCAAAGAGTCGAAAGAGGAGAAGAAAACAAAAGAAGAGTCCGAGTCCAAGGACTCTGCCGTGGACGACAGCCAGAGAATCAAGGACAAGGAAAGGGATAGAGCGGACTTCATCAAATGTCCGATTTCGGAGACCATCAAGAAGCTGGCGAACGCGTCTTTGAAGAGTTCCAAATCTTTAGAGATGACCACCAACAGCTGCTTGAAGGCTTTGAACAATTTGAAGACTTCGAAGTCCTTTGACGGCGTTAAGACTGTCGATATTGACGCAGAATCGCCGAGCCTCCATCAGAGGAAGCAACTGCTAGCCCAACACGGCGTTGTCGTTTGAACGTTCGTCAATAACGTAGCGCCGAAGATTCTGGATTGGGTATGTCCTTTTCTGATCTTTGACACGCCGAGGCCGGATTGGATGTGGACTGATCATAAGCGTACCGTAGATTCGTTCGTTGTCAGATTCGTTAGGGAACTCTGACACGATAGGTAGCTTTTCGTGAGACACCGACTGTTCGATGGACGCAACTGCGATGCTCGCTCTGCTCGATCGAAGACGGGACCTAGAGAAATCGTTGTCACACGTATTATTCTATCACCCTCACGCGGTTGTAGGTACTAGTTGCAAGCTCGATCGATCGGCGCGTGCCGTGCGGCAGGCATTTTAACCCTTGACGTCGATCATTTTTTTGGTAATAATCAGTTTATTTGTGAAGCAACCGAATATTGGATAACTGTAGAGGAAACATTAATAGTACTTTAACCGTTTGAGTGCTATTGGTTTTTGCAAACAGCTAGTCGAAAAGTGACAAACGATGCGATTGCGCTTTTTTTGTTTCAGCACAGAAACTGAATTGCACTTTATTTTTACATACACAAATTCTAGTGTGATCATTCTATTTTTTCCTTTTATAAATAGGTAATAACAAAAATAAAAATTAAGAACTAGAAGGAAAACAAATAAAGTTAATTTGATTCCACGAACGGAGAAGTGTAACGGAGAAGCGCAATTGTGCTGCTTGGTACTCAAACAGTTAATATAATAAAATAGAAAATTAATATAAATGGAATTGAAAACTATTTTTTACATTTCTATCTAGTGGAGTGTTTTGACTGTTAAAGGTTAAATGGAACCGAGCGATCGAAAAATTTCCGCGCGGCACGCGTCGACCTGTACAAATTTGACACCGAGGGGATTAGTAGACACAAAGCGTATTGTCTAAAGCGGAAAATAAATGTTTAACGATAATATACCAGAAAACGTACAGAATGTCCCGAATATATGTTAATTAATTTTAAGGGGGGTAGAAGATCACTAATCAAATATTGTTCGATACCATGTTTGATCTATAATTATTCGGTATTAACGTTATACAATTTTTAAATATTAAATTGTTACATTAACGTTATTAGTTATAGAATTTATAATTTTATAAATTTGTCACTCAATAGAAATAGAACGAACGGTTTAATTATATTTTACTGTTTCCTTTCATTTCTTAAACATCGCGGAACTTGGAACATTTCAGAGCTTAGAAGAAATGAGTTTAAAATGAATCATAAATTTAAAAGAACTTTTTTTTCTAATTTTCTATTAAAAAAATTATAAACTATCTATGCCTAGTATTACTACATGTATTGCTATTTTTACTCCGGTTTAGTACTCTTACAACCCCTTAAAATAATTCAGTGTATACCCGGGACGTTCCTAATATTGTTTTACTAAACTAGTGCAAACACAAATGGTTCTGAGTGTCTTGAAAGGATAGAGGTATTTTTAATTCTGATTTGTAGCCGTTTAAGAGTGCTGTTGAATATGACTGAAATAATTTGTTGTTTAGATGTGTGATACGATTACGATGATTGATCTGAGAGTGAATTTATTGAGAGGAGAGAGTCGAATGTGTTTTTCGCGTTATTCGTGGATTTTTCGAAACAATGAATGCAAATATCGCCGAATGGAAAGGTGGAGTATTGAATAAACCTTTATTGCGCAAAGTTACTGGAAACATTCGCACAAATCAGAGCATAAATAAAGATTTTGTAAATACTTTGATCGAGCGTTGAGAATGATATAAATTGATGTTTTGTTACCAAAATTCAGCATCGTGTATTTACATTAGCACTGAGATCAAATTCTTTCGTGGAATTTTAATAGATTTGCTTATCGCATAGAAGAAACATACTTCTTACTAATTATTCCAAAAATGATGCTATTTAAAACAATATATTATGATTCTTGAAGCAAGAACGTGCCATAGATATGCTTCAGAGCGAGACAATTTTGAAACCATCGTGAACAACTTGTAGAAAAAATATTCCAACGTTCTGGCGCTGAAATGAATAAACGCATTAATCAAGAAATTGTAACAGATTCAATATTTTCAAGACAACGATATTTTAATATTAGGGAAATATTGCGTATATATTCAAAGCATCACTTTATCTGGTTGTTATTATAACAAAAACAATATATGTATCGTCGAAATGTGTCGTGTATTAATTTATAACCGTACGTTTATCATCTTATCAGCGATTTCACTCGTCCGATGTGTAAAAGGAAAAATGAATAGGAAAGTGAACCGAAGATGCGCAATATTTTCTGACCCAATTCTATTCAAATTTTGCAACGAGAAGTACACCAGATAATACAACCCGTTGTCGAAGACAACCCGGATAATACAACCAGTATACGAAAGAGCCTTAACACGTTTGCGACCGCATACCATTTTCCAAAGTCTATAGCTGAATACCGTAAGAGTCTGCTATTCAAATATGTATGAGCATAAAAAGTATATGATGTGACTATGTTGTTAACATTTAACTGTAGATTATAAAATAATAAGATTAACACTAGAACTACCGTTCAGTCAAATTGCATTTTTCAAATTGGTATTACAAAAGCAATTTCGTCAATAATTTCTCAGAGAATCATTTGTTATCTTTTCAATAATTTTAAATGAAGATATCAAGACCGCTTTATATTGACTCATCTAATAGATCTAATATTAATTCCTTATCTTATGATTTATTTCTCAAGTATGGTCGATATAATTACTTTGCTATTAATAATTAATTTAAAAAGAAGAAAAAGTCTAGGCATATTCTGTTTGTTTTAAGGCATAATTATTGATAACAAAAGAATAATGTTTAATTTGAATTCAAAAGAACTGAGTAATATTTATGCTGATTAAATTCTGTTTAAAATCTTCACCTCGAATCTAACACATCGTTATAAAGTAAACGGTTAAATGACCGACATTCTTCTAAAATATGTAAAAATGATGTAAGGACTGCGTCACAGGCATCGTTTTAAAAAACTTAGAAATTACGTAGAACTACGTTACCGGTATTTAGCTAAAGAATGTAAAATGATGCAGAACTACGTTACCGGTCTCGAATGTGTTAAGTGCCACTAAAAAACGAGAAACGTTTTATGCACCGTCGCAATCGAAATCCTCTTAACCGTGTACGAAATCACGTTCGTACGAGACTTGTACCGCTAGAGGTTGCCCGGTGATTATAGATCGCGTGCGAAACCGGCGGAAAACTCGAATTGCAACTCTGCAAGATATATCTCGCGCGGATCCGGGTCAATCAATAGAATAGCAACTTCTCCGCGGCCATCAACCCCGCGTGTTTTTTCGAAGGGCCGAGTCGCCATCTTGTTTTGTCGATCGAAAGGCGTTCAGCTTACGTGAACATAATATTTGGAGAGATTTTGGGTGAATTGTTTCTGAAAACACATCTGTAATATATTTGAATTTAGAGAATTTTCTAATAAATTGTATCACAAATATCAATGGAGAGTTTTCATTCGAATTCGTACCTTGTTTTGTTTGTTTATAAGAAACAGGTTATTGCTTTTTCGATGACGTATTGTGTTGTAGGAATTGTTGAATACTTAAAACAACAACATATACGTACAAATCATGTTTATTACTTAAAAATTTATAAACTATTTTTTTTAGTTATTGTAAATATTTTATAAGTTTACACATACGTCTTTTCTAAAGACATCAATGTTACTGCATATTGTTTCTTTAGAATACAGTGAATCATTTTTATAACGAAACGTATGTTCTAAGTAATTACATACAAACGTTTTCAATTTATTATAATTTCTCGTAGCCAAATTTTGATTTACAAAACGTTTATGTTTATTTTAATCAATCTGCAATTTTCCTCTTTCTCCATGCCTATGGAAAAACCATTAAATTGAAAATTGAAACACTCAAAATAAATGTTTGAGAACGTTACCTCATGTTTATTAAATTGCGTCCATCTAAGAATTTAAACAGCCATGAATTCTATATTAGCAGCTGTACATATGATTAAACAATCTAGAAGTTTATTCTCAAATTTCAAAAAATTGAAAACGTCATATTTGCTTTATTTTATGGAATGTGGAAAATTTATTTAGAAACCGTCTTATCTTATAAAACAAAATCAACAAAAACCTGCGAGCATTAAATCAACACGTGCCATTTTTTCTGCGTACTATGTTAGAGGAACACTGCCCGAAAAAAATGTTCATAAATTTTCGTTATCAACTAAATTTACATCGTGGCTAAAACTCCTTTGGAGCTGCGGCGCTAAGAATCTTTTATTCAAATTTTGGCCTTCGAGATATCATCTACACGCATGCAAAAACCGGACACAAGAAAAGAATCATCGATTACATTGCATAGTGATGTATGCAAATTTACCGCGCATGTAGCTTCCGGAGTTCCTTCAGGATTTATGTTAGTGCCGAACGTTCTCGTCAGATGGCAGCAATTGTTCCTCCTACATAAAGTAGATATGAAATTCGGTAGCACAGCCATCGAAAACGGCAAGTAATCCTCAAATAAACAGTTTAGTTCCAAAATATCAACTAACCGATAAAAATTCATTTTTATCGAATAATCAACAATAAAACTCCAAATGACTTAAATAACATAAACATTAAAGTCACACCATTTACCAAAAACAATTAAATCAAAAATACCAGTCGTTCTCAAATAAAACAAAAATTTCAATTGAAAATTAAATTTCAAAAATTATATCAATCTTCTAAAATTAATATAAGCCTTACAATTTAAGATTAATACAAGATCTATCAATTAGAACAATACTAAAGCAAAACATTGGAAGACCCAAATATTAGACCAATTAAATTTTCTAAGCATTACATAAATTACGATTAAAATATAATCATCAATCATACATTCTTGCATAGAAGATTTTTCGCTTTATCTCTTCAGAGATCGCAAGCTCCCCATTATTCCGACAACTTTTCCCATTTACGACATATTACGCGCGGCTCCCGTTTCGTGGCACCGATGCGAACAATGCGAGGCCAAATAGGAACAACAACGCCATATCGAATATGCGACGACAGCGAAATGGACCTTGCGCCGAGTCAAGATCAAGGTACCTGATGAAGCCTCGTTTGGAGTCACAGTTCTCCACGGGTATGATAATGCGCCCGGTGTCCGTGTGTGCCGCGCGCACGGGCCGCTTGACTCACGTCTGCCTGACCTACTAACTTGTCCAGGTACGCACACATCTGTACGCGGATGCACATTCAGCGCACACATCCTCTAAGTGCCACATAAGTGCACGAACAAGAATCAGGACCGCGACTTTTTTTCTCCTCTCTCCGCGCAACTTTCGGTTTACGTATTCTTTGCCGCTTCGTTTGCTTACCAACGTAATACTAATTTCCACTCCCTCCCTAAAACGGCCATAATCATTTTTTTGACTCTAGGAGACGATTGATAACGATGCCCGCGAAGAACCGATTATTTTAATCCTTATACCATTTGCATCGTTAGCGTACCCTATTAGAGGGACCGAAAAGAAATCCATTACTTTTAGTTTTAACAGGAAACTTTATTGTTTTGTATAAATTGTTAGAGATCAGTGCAAAATATAATCCTTTTTTTAGGAGAGTTTACTATATAATTGGTTATTTTTGAAATCCATTTTTTAAAACATTCACGGGTTAAAGTAATATGCCAAAAGTAATGGATCTCTTTTCTGTTGTTCTAATATATACGATTTTAGATTAGATTATCAGTAAATAGTCAATAAATATTATCGCATTATTATACTATTAGCATTATTATTATTTACTATATTATTATGGTTTCATGTTATGATGTATGTTCCTGTTTCGATATTTTAATTATTCAGATATAGTGAATGAAGCAAAATTTGACTATAATAGAATATTTCCTATTCTGTTGTATGATGCCAATGAATTAACATTCGAAAGGCAAAGATTACGCAAAAATGTAAAAACTTTTGTTTTCATTTATGTTTATTATAGCTACTTGCTGTAATTAAAGATATATGTTCTGCCCTATTATATTCAAAATCTTATTAGTACTCTCTTCACATCTAGCCAATATTCTATTGTGTCATAGGTAAGGTGAGTAAGATATTAACTGAAAAATTGTTAACTTTTAATGTACAAAAAAAGAATCAATGTACAAAGGTACAAGTTTAATGTAAAAAAAGAAAATCAAATTTTTGTTGCCTCTTAATGTACCTACGTTGGGCCAAACAAAATAATTTTCTTGTTACGTTCGTGAAAGGTGGAAGATTGTTTCAGTATGAACTCCATTTTGAGATGTTTGCGCATATAACTGAAAAAGTTAATTGATTCGCGACATTTACGTGGCTAACCGAGCATACTACCGTGCGATCGTTGATTTCCGCGACACGGAACGCCTCGGAAGCTTCTCTTTTCAAGAAATTCGAGGATTTAACTCGAAGCGATTAGAACAGCATCACGGCACCCTTCCTCAGCTTTCTATCTGTCCGCGGACACAATTCTACTTCCAGGACAATTCACGGTGATTCTCTCGACTTTCTTCCGGCGGCAGTTAATTAGTATAGATTCCGCGAAACTGCCTCGAAGATACTCATCGATGCGTGATCAATAGATTCCGAATTATCATCGGCTGATTCGAGTAAACCTATCCTTCTTCCAAGCTTCGTTCCACTTGTTGTCATTTATTACTCTTAAAATTAATCGTTTCCTTTTTAACCACGTCTTAACCCATTCTCCCGACGTTTGTTGTGTGCTCTAATCATAACGGGAGATCGATCAGCGCCCAACGACCGTAAAATTCTTCATTTGAATACAAATACAAAATGAATTTTGAAATTCCCGCTACCACGCGTGATAAGATAAACACGCCATATTTACAGTTGAAGTGTTATTACAAGCATGTTGTAATGACTTCCACATTTTTCTCTTTCAGTTGACTTGTAAAATAAAACGATCGCAGGACCTATTTGATACTGCACTATTATTTTAATATTTATCGTTAATATTTTCTTTACATTCCATACACATGTACATTTTTTAATATGTAACTAAATATTATAATGTGGATTTAACATACATCCGATAAAAATAAGTGAAATTCTAAAAAAAGCAGTTGCCATACAATGTTAATGTGTAGAATGTAATTCATCATAAAATGAAAATACATATATAAATTTTATACTCGCGTATGGACATTATTTTATGTTGCAACCGAATGTCACTAGAATGGTGAATTCGAGTTTTGATATCTAAAATTGAAAGCTGTAAATAAATAACTTATCTATTCGAATAACGAGAGATTGATATATTGTTTCCTTCATTCCTAGTATTTTAAACTTCAATCCATAATTCAACCTTTGTAACAAGAAATTTTAAAAGCTTAAAAAGTCCTCAACCACAAAAAGTTAATACAAAACTTCAAAAAAGGACACTGTCTTCTATAATAAATAGAAGAAAAGAAATCAATAATTTTTGGTCTCAACAGAAAGTTCCATTATTTCACATAAATCTTAAATATTAATCCAAAAACTGAACTTAAAAAATGGACTAAATAAGAAACTATCTCAAACAAAGAATGAAATAAATTTCACCTTAATCTTTAAAAATCCATGCGAAATGGTAAAACTTTCTATTGAGACTAAAAATAATGTTTCTTTCCGGTCCCCCTAATACTTCTTTTATTTCAAGTTCCTTAAACGGTGTTCTTTTTTCCAACACTCCGATCCTCGCCTCTCAACAATGACAAGAGGAATCCTCATCTCGAGCTGCATGTTGGGTGCACGTGTGCATTAGTGCAGATGTGTATGTGTGTGTGCATGTGTGCATGTGTTCGAAGGTGCGCACAGGTACAAGCAGGTATATGCAGGTAGCCGTGTGTCCTGGAGGGGCACGTCGAGCCCCCTGATGATCGAGGAGAGGGGAAATGGGCACGTGGGGTCCCATAGAGCGGCGAGTAGCTCGTAGGGGCCCGCACCCATACGTTCGCGAGCCGTGAGTAGTGTTAACGGCCTTGCTTTATGTGGGTCATGAAACAAGGTCCCACCAGCACGAGGAGCACGAGGAACACGAGAGAACATAGCACGCTCGGCTCGAACCCCGGCTTGGTACTTCCACATCCCAGGCCCACGCCGCACCGCTCTCTCGCGGTGTCTACCGGTTCGCAAGCACAATAGAACCATTTGACGAGGGAAACAAAATAGGCAAATAGGAGGAGAATGGTTCACTTCTGGCTTTGTGCGAGCGGATTGTTCACTGCACGATGACGTTCGTCATTTTTTACGATCATCCTGTTGCATGGATTGTCCGTGACTTTGATATTGACACGTTCGAAACCGGTGACGTAGCACTGCGTCATTATGAATTCTTTAATCGAAGTAACTTAGTTCTACGTTATTTTACACTTTTCGGTTGAATACTGTGTGAACGTGATTCTGTTATTTTTAATTCTTCAGCTAATTACTGCAATAACGCAGTCGTACG